TGCAAATTAGTATGGCAACTCCTCAAGAAAAGGGTAATCAGTCTAACACAATGTCCAGCAATTCCACTGTTAGGCATATACCCAAAAGAAGCACATTCATACAACAAGGACATCTGTTCAACGATGTTCATAGCAGCACTATTTGTAATAGCCAGAAACTGGAAGCAGCCTAGATGCCCCTCAACTGTAGAATGGATACAGAAAATGTGGTACATTGACACAATGGAGTACTACTCAGCAGAAAAAAACAATGGAATCTTGAAATCACAGGTAAATGGATGGAACTGGAAGAAACCATTCTGAGTGAGGTAACCCAGTCACAAAAAGACAAACATGGTATGTACTCACTCATATGTGGATTTTACACATAGAGCAAAGGATTACCAGCCTACAATCCACACCGCCAGAGAAGCTAGGAAACAAGGAGGACCCTAAGAGAGACATACATGGTCCCCCAGAGAAGGGGAGAAGGACAACAGAGATCATGTGGAGATAAAGTGATGATGTGAGAGCAATGGCTCACAATGAGGAATAATGGGAGGGGGCTGACGGGGACAGACATGCAATAGAGCTCTTTAGCTTTCCTCGAAGTTTGCAGGAGATTGAAATAAAAAACTGATGACAGGGAGCTGTACTTATTGACCCTCCAAAGAACCACACTGGAGACAATATAAAAGTACTACAAATCAAGTGACTGAAATACTAAATGAAAACCTTAAAAAAAAAAAAATACAGACAGCAACTTCGCCTTTGTGTAACAACAGTTTACCTTTATCATTCATGAAAATAAGACAAATCTCTTACCTTCTAAAGACTGAGACAGGCAAACTGAAGACTGATGGCAAGGAAGGTTTATTAGAAGAATCAATAGACCTATGGGGGGAAAGGGAAACAAAAAAAAACTGAGTAGGCCAAAGTTCCGGGCAGCACAAGCCATCCATATTGCACAGTACATTTGAAAGTGTAACTGAGTCTAACTAGCATTCAGTATAGTCAAGTGTTTGCCACCCCCTGAGTGAAGAGTAAATTAAATTTTGGTTTTGTAGTTTCATATAATAAGGACTCATAACAGAGTTGATATGCTACCAAGTGAACTCTGTGGTCCCTCCCACTGAAGCTTTTGGGGGGGGGTATGGGTTTTGGGGTTTTTTTTTGGTTTTTTTTTTTTTTTTTTTTTTGGTTTTTCAAGACAGGGTTGGGATTTTGGTTTTTTGAGACACTTTTTCTCTGTGTAACAGCCCTAGCTGTCCTGAAATTTGCTTTATAGATCAGGCTGGACTTGAACTCACAGAGATCTACCTGCCTCTGCTCCCCAAGTGTTGTGGTTAAAGGTGCGCACCACCACACCCAGACCACGAAAGCTTCTTAAGGTCATGTTAATCAAAGACTATCATTCTAATTATTTTCTACTTTGTAAGTAATATTTTTAAAGTATACAAAGCTGAAAACATGTACCAAAAACACATCAAGACAGAAATCACTGTAATAAATTTTAAAATTTTATACTTAGTTATGCTCAAAATTATAATTCAGGGTGACTTTTTGAACCCATAGGATTTTAAATGCCAATTATTTAAACCAAAAAGCCTAAGGCATGTGTATAGCACGGAAAGCCTTTAAGTCAAAAGAACTCAATGCACTGCTGTAGGACTGCATCAGACCTTAGATAGCTAAGGGGAAAAACAAACAAATAAAAATCCTTTTATCTCACCACATATCCATTTTTGACACCTCATCAAACAATAGAAGACAAAACAATGCCCCAACTTCGGTCACCACGGTACAGTCCTCATGAAATATCAAGGAAACTGAGGAATAAAACACAATGCAACTTCATAAATAACTTCTAGGAAGAATGAATTTTAGCTTTAAAAACGTCTTAACTTGAAAGAAAGAGAAATAGATCATTATCCCAGAAAAACCGGCACCACTAAAAAGTGTTCTAGTATTGCTAAAGTTTTCAAATGCATGAGAATTACCAGGGGACATATAAAACAGTTTCTCAGTCTATATATGTAATGTATATAGTTCCCAGAAAATGCTGACACTACTGGTCAGAGAGCCACAGATGCAGACTGGCTCCATCACATAGTAATGCAGAGGCCTAGTCAAGTCCTTTAACATAAAAAAACTTCATCTACTTCTGTAGCATTTCCAATGACACTGTTTTCACTGCTAAAAAAATAAGAAGTTCTAAACAAACTGAAATAGTAGTTGTACCATCACACAGGAATAATAACAATACAGAATCTTCAAATTTACAGAAGCACAAACAAGAAATCCGTATTTTAAAAATAGTTTTCCTAGTTGTAAGAAAACATAAGCTGGGTGGTGCTGTCACACACCTTTGACACCAGCACTCAGGAGGCAGAGGTAGGCAAATGTCTGTAAATCTGAGACCAGCCTGGTCTACAGAGTGAGTTCCAGGACAGCCTCCAAAGCCACAGAGAAACCCTGTCTCGCAAAAAAAAAAAAAAAAGAAAGAAAAAGAAAAAAAAGAGAAAGAGAAAGATAAATAATACATAATTAGTATGACTATAACTACAATCTAAAAAGTAAAGAAATATGAGTCATATAAAAATGAACAAATGTTAAACAGACATTTCCACTCAGCAGAGACAGAATGGTTTGGAGTATTTAAATACATAAGAAATTTCTGGAGCACAGCTGGCTATGGTATGGGGTTAAGACAGATTTAGATTCTTACCTTAAGTTTTATCCCCATAAAATGTTAAGCTTATTCTGGGTTTCAAATATAATAGATGCCACCTTCTTGTTATTTTTTTAAATAGCTTCCAAAGTAGAGAGTTTTCAAAAGGATTCTCATGTAGCCTTAGTTTTCATTCCTCTAACCCCACCCTTCTTTCTCCCACTCCCTTTCCCACTATCAATGAAAAAAGCAGATAAGTAATTTGCAGTTCTTCTGCCTCTTCCACATATCTAGTTATGACTATGCCCAAGACACTACATTCTAATACCTCAATTTCCTCCCTCTACATTGATGTAATGAATACTAAATATGTTTCTACCCCACAATACAGTATAAGATTTTGTCACAGTAAGTCTGTAATTTAGAGTTTTGCAAGGTTACTGAATCATTAAAGTCTGTCAATGAAGTTTCCAAGCTAGGAGAGAATAATCCCTAAAATACATATTCCCATTTAACAACCGCATATAGCCTCTCTCTGCTGTTTACTAAGGCTTACCAGATCTTGCATGAACTACCCTCTTTACATCATCACACATTCCCCTTATCTATGCTCCTTCAAATCCCATTGTCCCTAACAAGCTAAAATGTCAAACATAACTTCTTCCTCTATCACTAAGTCAGTCGTGTCTATCTGAACTCGCATGCAATTCTCAAATCCCAGCTCAGATATCCTTCCCTAGAAGCATTATCTAATACTTCCCTAACACCAATACATTCATGTAGGGGAGTCAGGTAGAAATATAAGGGTATTTAATAGGGAAAAGCCTTACTTACAGAGCGAACCAGCCAGCCGGTGGTAGTCTGTACAGCAAGAAGCAAAGAGAGAAACCGAAACCGAAAACGCAGTCCCCCTACTCACTCTGACCACGCCCTCTCAAGCCCTCAGGTACTCTTGTAGCCAGCCCCTAAGAAGGCGTGGCTACAGCTTCCCCTACACATTCAGCAGTTTTTCTACTACCAGGAATCCTACTTCAGGTATTAGGCTGTATTTGATGCCCTCAACCTAGGGGCTGAAGGACCTACATCTCAGCCAAGGCTAAGTGATCTCTCAGGGTAAGTGAGACCCTTAGTATGGGTAATGATTTTCAGTAAGAAGGGAGAAGGGGAGGGACCAGAGAAGTCCACCAAAGATGAGGCAGAGGTGTAATGGGCCAAACCATC